CTCCACGGACCTCGTCCTGCGGGGAAAGCCGCCTTCTGTCCTCCCCGGCCCTCCTGCCCAGCCCCTGCCCTGATCTCGGAAGGCGTGGTCGCCTGTAACTGGGGGACAGCGTGGCCCAGTGTTTCTTGAACTAGGAACGGAGGCAGAGAGCCTCAGTCTGATTTTGGCGAGCTGCCATTAATGGATGTAAAGACATATCTTTTTTCTTTTTTTTAAGAGAGGTATTTTGGCTATAGGGGATGTGTGATTGCCAGGCAGAGAGACAGAGAGAAAGCGAGAAATCACCCCCCAAGCAGGATGGCCACGTCGCAGTCCCTTCTCCCCCATGTTCTTCCTGGGACTTGGGGCATGCATGCACATGCGCCTGGTGTGATTTTCAATTTGTCAGGTTTGGGACTCAAACCGCAATTGGCCATGTGAGAGTCCAGTGCCTTAGCCACTGTGCCACCTGCTGGCCCCAAACTTCTTCCTTTTCGCGGTTTCAGGAACGTCTCAGGATGAAGCCTCATTGGGTCTGGGAAGTCATGTCTTTCCTCCTCCCTGGCCCCCCAAGAGCCCATACCTGCGGCTAGGAGTCTGCATGTCTGATTGGCCAGGCCTGGGTCATGTGATCCCTTCTGGGGCCAGAGTTGGTCCACCAGGGACTGGGAGCAGGGGCGAGGCCTGGGGACTAGGCCACCATGCTGGGCGGGTAGGAGAGATCTGGGGGCGGGCTGCACCCCACACTATGGGGACTTGTTACTCAAGCAGCTGTGAGCCTCTGGGAGGGTCGAGGTGGGGATTGTCACCGGGAAGGCTGGCTGCTTTACCTTTTTTGTTTTTTTAAGAGATTATTGCTATAGAGGGCATACCTTCGCCAGAGAGACAGACCGAAAGCGAGAAATCACCCTCTGGGGGGGTGCCGTGCATGCCGCAATCCCCTCTCCTCCATTCTCTCGGGATTTTGGGTATGCATGCACGTGTACCCGGCATGAGTTTTAAGCCGCCGGATCCAGGATTCGAACCACGGTCAGCCTTGTGGTGGAGCAGTGATGTAACCATTACGCCCTCTGCTGGTCCCAGCTTGTGTTACCTTTTAACCCATCTTGGGTGAGTGAGCTTGCTGGCTGCGGGCTGTCAGCCAGCACCGTGGCCGAGGGCAGCAGAGCCCTATCTAGAGGGTCACTGGTGTCACGTCACGTCTTGTGACGGGCTGCCCTCCCGTGGTCACCCCAACAGGTATCGCAAAGTCTCATGAGGCTGATGGGCCTGGCCCTGCACACCACAATCACCTGAGGAATCTAAATCCACTCCGGGGTGGTGGGCAGCAGGTGGCCTGGTGGTTAAGCACTGGACTCCCTCATGGTTGATCACGGTTCAAGTCCTGGACCTGGTAGCTTGAAACTCATGCTAGGTACCTGTGTGTGCGTGCCCAAAATCCTGACCGGAGAATGGAGGAGAAGGGCTTGGAGCGTGGCCATCCTGTCGGGGGGGCGAGAACGCACTTTCTCTCTCTCTGTCTCTTTCTCTCTCTCTGGTGAGCACACACACCCTATAGCAAAAATCTCAAAAAAAAGAAAATAAATAAAAGATACTCTGGGGCCAGCCGGTGGCCTAGTGGTTCGGCAGCTAGATCCCACAGTTTGAATCGCAGACCCAGTGGCATGAGAGACACGCCAGGCAGGTGTGAGCGTGTGTCTGAAGTCCTGAAAGGAGAAAGGGAAGGAAGAGGAGGGACTGCGGCCCGACTGCCCGACGGAGGGTCTTCCTCCCTGTCTCCTCCCTTCTCCCTGTCCTGGGTGCACACATGTGCACTTTGCTGAAGTTAAAGTGAAAAGAGTATAAACCAGAAGTGATCTCTCCTGCTCCCCCCACCGAAACAACACCTGGCCCCATGCGGCTCTGGCTTGGATGCCTCAACACGGATCGCGCCATCGCGCCCGCTCGCGCCCGTCCACTGGGCCAGTCCCTGGGCTCTGACGCCGCGCCACTGTCGGGGGAGCCCCTTTCCTCAGGGCCAGGCCTGGACGGGCTTGGCCGGTAGCTCGTTCGGGTGGCCTTCCGGTGACTATCTGCTCCGGGCGTACCGAGGCCTTAGTCTCATCACGGCACGCAGGGCTTGTGTATGTCCTGCCAGAGTTCAAGCCCGGGCCCTGCGCTTCCCAGTCCCGTGATCTTGGGCAGATCCCCCACCTCCCCTGTGTCAGCCCCCTCCTAGCACGGGGTAACCACGCTGGCACCCACCTAAGCTGGGCCAATGGACGCTGATGGGGGAGAGCCCTGCTGTGGATACGGCCACGTCCATCCCAGCTCTGCACCCCCTGGCCCCCAAGAGGGTCCCAGTCACTTGTGCCAACCTGTCATCTCCAGGGCTGGGCACGGGACCTGGGAGCGAGGCTGGCTGGGCAGGCCTCAGGCAGGGTGCTGGGTGAGGACACAACCCTCTGCCCCATTTCCAGCTCACAGTTGCTGGGTAGGAAAGGAGCTTGGTGTTGACAGATCATTTGACTTTATTTTTTTATTTTTATTTTTTTGAAGAGGTTTTTGCTATAGGGAATGTGTGCTTGCCAGAAAGAGACAGACAGAGACAGAGAGTGAGAAATCACCCCCCAGGGGGATGGCCACACTGCAATCCCTTCTCCTTCATTCTTCTCTTGGGATCTTGGGCACGCACGTACACGCACCCGGCGTGAATTTAAGCCACCGGGTCTGGGACTCAAACCGCGGTTGACTACGTGGGAGTCCAGCGACATTTGCATTTTGCAACGTGGCTGTCTGTGCGGTGGGTTACAGGGCACTATTGCTCAGTTGTGTCAGCCTCCACCTCAGAGAGGCCTCCTCAGTGGTTTTAATGGGTTGCCACCCTCGTTTTCAGAAGGGGGAGGATCTTGTGCACTTACTGCGCACCTGCTGTGTGCCAGGAGCCGGCAGGGGTATGACATTCGCACTCACTTTGTTCCCTCTGAGAGCCTGCCCTGCGAGTGGGAAGCATAGTGTTCTAGGAAATGTGGGGGTTCACAGAGTCCTGCAGAAAGAGGGTTAGCCAGCCTTCAGTCTGCGTGGCCAATTCAAATCTGGGCTTTGACAGCATGCTGCCTCCCGCTTCCTGAAAGCTCTGTGGGGCGCTGCTCCAGGGCTGCCGGGCATATGCACCTGGGGCACCCGCCCTGGAGGTGTCTGGTCTTGTCCTCCGTGTTCAGAGGCGTTGGCAGGCATTCCAGGACGAGCCTGCCAGGAGAGAGGTGGAAAATCAGGATGACCTAAGGACGTGCTCCACGGGAGGGCGAGAGCCTGTGTCTGGAGGCTCAGGCTCCAGCTCCAGCCCAGGCCCTGGGAGCCAGTCCTGGCCTGGAAGCCGATACATTCTCAGACCCATCGGGGCCCAGCGCTCAAGGTGACAGGGGGATGAACCAGAGCTCTTCGGACCTGCTTCTCCCGGGAGGCCCTGCAGCCCGTGTGTAGGTTCTCAGACGGGGCCTCGTGGGGGTCACGTGCTTCTGGGGCAGCCCCCTTAGTTCTGGGGCTGCCCCACGGCCGTGGTCATGTGCTGTTCCTCCTGACGGCTCATTTCCCTTTTCTCGAACTCACACGTGCAAACATGCGTGCGCCCCCTGGTGTGACTCCATTGTGCAAACGCTGCTGAAAGGAGGAGGTGCAGGGAGGCTGGGGGGCTGCCAGTCCAGCCCCGCGCCGGCAGCCCCACCTGGGCCGAGTGTCTTCGTCTTCGTCTCTGCTCTCCTGCCCCTCAGGTCTGAACCCTGACTTCCAGGAGTGGGGAACCCCACGGTTCCGTCCACACTCCCTGCTCGAGGCTGTGCTGGACTGGCGGCCACTCCCATCCGCGTCGTTCCCGTCAGGTTCTCCTCCTTTCTTTCCTTTTCAGGAAGATTTTTGCCATAGGGTGTGCGCGTTGGCTGGAGAAAGACAGAGACAGAGAGAGGGAAAGTGGAAAATCACCCCTCAGTGGGGGTGACCTTGCCGCAGTCCCTTCTCCTCCATCCTCCTCTTGAGATTTTGGGCACGCATGCACACGTGCCTGGCAGGATCCTTTAGCTGCTGGGTCTGGGACTCGAACCATGGAAGGCCATGTGGGAACCCGGTGCCTTGGCCACCACGCCATCTGCTGGCCCCTCAGTAATGTCCTCTATTACCCCAAGTGCCTGCTTTTCTTCGGACTTCTGTTTAGATGTCCTCTGGAAGTTTCCTGTGAGTCTGCCATTGACTCCTGGTCTGGCGGGGGCTCGTGACACCTGTGCACGCCCAGCACGGGCTTCTCTGGAGCAGCCGTAGTGCCCACCTCACCCACCAGGCTGCAGGGCCCTGAGGAGGCCATGCCTGCCCAGCTCGGGGTCTGCTCATGGTGATTCGCAGCCGCCACGTCACATTGTCCACGCGTGTGGTTGAGGATGTCACGGGAGTGGACCAAGCGTCGGGGCAGCTGTCTACCCCTCTTCCCCTGGTCACCTGTGCAGAGCCAGCTAGCCAGCTCCTGCTTCCTTACTTGTTGTGGGAGGGCCTGTGTGCTGGCCGGACAGGAGAAAGCACCTGCAGGGTCATGGTCACGCTGCAGACCCTTCTCCATTTCTCTGCCCCGTTGGGGTTCAGGGCACACACATCCACCTTCCAAGCCACTGGGGCCTGGACTCGAACTGGGATCAGCTACGTGGGATCCCTCTGTCTTTACCACTAGGCCATAGGACTGGCCCTGGGCAGGGCTATGGGATCTAACTGCTGTTCTTTGCAGCCACGTTTCAGAAGTCTAAGTGGGACTAATCAGCACTAATTAGCAGCTGGCTTCCCGTCAGGCTAGCCGGTCTCCCATGCACAGTGGTCACGCGTGGCTGGTGGCTGCAGGCTCACGGTGCAGCTCGGTGGCACTTCCACCACGGCAGGGTGTTCTCTGGGCACGCTGCCCCGGGAGAGGCCTTTCTGGGCGCACAGTCCCTCCTTGGTGTTCTGGCCGGTGAAGCGGGTGCCTGTCGACTCCTTACGCCTGAGCGTTTGCCTCTCCCCGGCTGCAGGATGCCCGTCAGAGGTTCCGCTCTGTGCTGGTGGAGGCAACGGTCAAGCTGGACGAGCTGGTGAAGAGAATCGGCAAAGCCGTGGACGACTCGAAGCCGTACTGGGAGGCCCGCAGGGTGGCGAGGCAGGTAAGATAGCCCCGCGGACGTGCCCTGCCCCTCCTGAACACTGCCATGCCTGGAGCGCCTGGGTTTGCGTGTCCCACCATGCCATGGGACAGTGTGACGGAGCGCCGCGCCCCAGGCCAGCCTTTATTCCCCCTCCCCCAGCTGGCCTCCTTCCAGTTCTCGGTGCGGGTGGGGGTGTGGGTGCCGCAGGTGGTGCCTGGGTCCCCGTCCCAGCTGGGCTGCTGTGGGGACACGCGCTGCGTCCTGGACAGGAGCGTGTCGTACCCCACTTCCCCCCGACGGCACTCGGGAGCAGGGCCACGTGACCCCTCCCTCGCACACTGCAGCCCTCACTGTCTGGCCGTCCTGGTCGCTACCGTGTTGCTAACGGAAAACCCCCAGGAGCTGCACTGGGAGTGGGGGCTGATCTGACTCGTGGCTCTGGTGGCCGGAAGGCTCAGGGGCTTGCAGCTGGCATCTGGCCAGCGGCAACATGACCCACCGAAGCAGAGGGTGCCGATGCACGCACAGACAGTGTGGGCGGCTCCTCCTAACAGCGTCGGTGGGAGCCGAGTTCTCCTCCGGAGAGCCTGGACTTGGCTCCGGGGCACAGCACTGATTCGGGAGGCCTGTGCCCCCGTGGTCCAGCCACTTCCCACTGAGACCGGATTCCAAAGCAGGAACCTTCAGGGGACACACCGTTACCCATACCGTAACCTGGTGCTGTCCTGGAACACAGGTTGATCAGCTCACAGGCTGGAAGCCGGGGCACGGCTGCTGGTCTCGCAGGGTCCCGTCGATGTCACGCGAGCAGGGCAGCTGCCCGTGCGTCTGCTTGTCCCGGTCCCCTTCCTGCTCCTCACAGGCCCCCTGAATCACCCCTCCCCCTTGGCACAGGGAGTTACGTCTCAGTACCCTGACAGCCGGCTGCGGCACAGGCACTTGCAGGCATGTCAGGCACTTGAGCCACAGCGGGCCTTTAGCCTTTTCCTTCTTTTGAGACACTGGCCCTTTGTCCTGGAGCCCAGGTAAGAGCTGAGGACGGGGCCAGGGCATTGCTGGGGGCTGCATGGAAACTGGCCCCATCTCAGAGCGCACCTTCCTGTCTGCCTCGATGGGATGCAGTGTGCGGCCGTGTCACCTCCCAGCCTCGGAGGGCCAGCAGAGGGGCGTGGGAGGAGCCCCAGCAGTTCTCGTGCCCCCTGAGCGCCTGACCTGGGCTAGGGGTTACCCACATTCCTCAGCGCACGTGGGCTTCTCAGCTGGTGTCTCTTCATGGAGCGCTAACCCCATGGTGCATCTTAGGAACTCAGAGTTCCCAAGACACGAGCCGTTGTACAAGTCGTAGCTCACTGACAGACATCAGGTGTCGTCCCTGTGGTTCCGTTGTGTCAGCCTAACAAGGCCGAGTACCGTCAGTGGGTGGAAGTGGTTGACTTGACCAGGGCTTAGGACTGTCACCGGGTGAGCGAATTCCTAGTTCCCTGGACATCCGCTCTCCCAGTAGAGATGGAGAAGGCTGGTTTCTGTGACAGAGACAGGCAAGGAGAGGCTACTACGAGTTCGTGCTGGTTCCTTCGTTTCGTTGATTTGCGAAGCGTGTGTACTTGCTGGAGAGGGGGCGAGAGCGAGCGAGAGAGAGGGAAAGTGAGAAAGTGCCCCCACGAGGCACGCCACGCCAGTCGCTTCGCCTCCCTTTCTCCTTTGGGATTTTGGCACACACGCACGGGCCCAGCATGCTTCTCAGGCTGTCGGTCTGGAACTCAGACTGCACAGCTGGCCTCGTGAGAACCAGCCACTTCCACCGCCATGCCGCCTGGCCCTGCACCAGCTGTTCAAATGCGCCGCCCGCTGCTGGCTTACCTTATTCTTTCTGTCCTAAACTCGGAACTGGGAGGAGGAGGGACAGGACACACTGCAAAATCTGTAATCCTGTGTAGGATCACGCTCTTCTACTGTCACTAAAACGATGGCCCTCCGCGGCTGTAACCCAGCCGGGTGCAGGGCTTAGCCGAAGGCCGGCCATGCTGTCCTGAGGCCCTTAAGGTGTCAGTGGCCCTCGCCCTTCTCCTTCGTCATGGTGTGCCACGGACATGAGGGGCCGCCCGGCCTGCTGCTCTTCCCCAGGCGTGATGGAAGGTGCTGTCTGCAGATGCCGAGGGGCAGTGATGCCAGTCCTGAGCACCAGCGCCAGTGCAGACCTGCTGCCGGGCGCTGCGCAGGACAGCCACAGCGTGAGCCCTTCGGAACGAACGAGGGTTGACCCCAGGGGAGAGGAGTCAGACCGCCATCGTCCTCCCGTTTCCTGGTCCACGCTCCCCCGAAGTGTCCCCACAGAGCACCCCCGCGTTGCGCTGACACTCTCCTGAGAGTCCATGCATGGGTTCGGGGCGCGCCCTCCGTGGCCTGAGCGAGGCTTCTGGCTGGACCCTGCCAAGGCGTGGCCTTTGTTCCTAGCCGCGTGGCTGCCTGAAACCTCGTACCCCAGTCCTCATCTGATTGCGTCCCACCAGGTTTGGCCACGCTCCATCTGCCCCCTCTGGGCCCTGCCCACTCTGGCGTCCAGAGAGGAGGTGCCTTCCCTACAAGCTTCCTTCCTGTCCCCACGGGGCCCACTTCCTGGGCATCCCTCTCAGGGGTCTGTGCCCCAAACGCCCCGAGTGTACTTCCTGCTCCTGACCTGGAGTTGATGAAGGGTCCAGGCAGGCTGTGGGGCCTGGCCGTGTAAGGCCTGGACAAGTACTGAAGGGGTCCAGAAAGCTCCTCCTCTTTTGTTTTACGAGGTTTTTGCTGTAGGGTGTGTATGCTTACAGGAGAGACAGAGACAGAACGTGAGAAACCACCCCAGAGGGGATGGCCATGCCACAGTCCCTTCTCCTCCATTCTCCTCTCAGGATCTTAGACACATACACACACACACACACACACACACACACACATGCCTGGAGTATTTTCCAAGTTGCCGGGGCTGGGATTTGAACCGTGGTAGGCTACATGGGATTCAGCTCCTTTAGCAACTGGGCTGCAGGACCAGCTCTTTTGAAAGTTTTTAACCTGATTCTTTTTAACCCACAAACACCTACTGAAAGCAGCCCCTGGGCCCGTGCCGACTGTGGTCTGTGAAGGGCCCCTGGGCGGTTGTGTGGCCTCCCTACTGGGGCTTTCCTGCTTGGTCCCTGCTCAGGCTGGGAAAGAGGTGACCCAGGGACCTCCGGCGGCAGTGGCAGCTGCGATCCGCATGGCCGTGCTGGTGTGGAGCCTGTGTTCCCTCTGGCATCGTCCTGACCCCGAGTTTTCACGGCCCTCCCTCCTCCTCAGGCTAGCTCAGATGTCACCGTGTCAGCGAGGCCTCCTCAGGCTAGCGGACCTAAAAAGGGAGCTCCTGGCCACCGTCCCCGCCACCTCGCCTGCCCTCATCGTGTCCCTTCTCCCCTGTCACGGCGTACCAGGGACACGAAGGACGCCCTGGGATGACGGGGACGCAGGTCTGTCCACTGTCGTGTCTGCGGTTTCAGGACATGCAGGTGTTGGTGTCGAGCGAGTGGACAGACTGGTGATGCTGGGGGACACCGACAGGCCAGCATCCCTCCCTGCCCCCGTGGACACAGCTTCTTGCCATAGGGCCTCTCCTCCCCGCTCCCTGCCTCGGCGCTCAGTGCAGAGAAGACAGGGAGGACTGGCCCCTGGCTCCTTCTAGCCAGTCCGCCTCTCACAGGTGGGCGGCCCAGTTGGCCTGGGGGCCCTAGCTGTCGTCTGAGCCCCACATCCTCTTTGATGGGGGCGAAGGGAGGAGGGCGCCATGTTGGGGGGCTCCGGGCCTGCAGGGAGGTAGGCCATGGCAGCCCTCCGCCCTGTCATCCCTCCCCTCGCCAGTAAGGACACCCTCAGGCCAGTTGCTGGGGCCCTTGTGCCAGCCGGTGGGTCACCACGTCTGCTTGGCTAGTGCCTGGGTCCCAGGGTCATTGACTCTCAGCGGCCAGAGCCCAAGGGGGTGCTGAGGGCACTGTGTCCGTGAGCCGTCTTCCTTCTGGAGGGTGGGAAGGAAGAAGGGGAAGGTTCAGAATGACCCTGAGCCCTCACTGCAAGGGCCTTCGCTAGTCTGTAGCCAAGGGGCTGGACGAGCTCAGGCCGAGGCCGGCCCGGATGTTACACTCAGCTCTGTGGTTGGGGCTTGCTGGACTCGGCCGGCTGAGGGATGAGCTTGTTTGTGTAGAATGTTCCTCTGACCTTCCTGAGGTATCCGGCCTACCTCCAGCCGCTGCCAAGCGGGGCTTCCTGTTTTCTTCCTCTGGCTGTCTCCCACCCCTCCTCTCCACATGGCTCTGCGTGTGCACAGCAGGGATGTGTCTCGGGAACCCCTCGCAGTGTCATAGTTCTCTCACGGGCCTCGCAGGGGCTGCGGCTGAGCATCAGCACCTCCTGGTCATGAGCGGAGACCAGCTCGGGCTGCCCGTGAGCCGTTCCGAGGAACGGTGTGTTCGGCAGCAGGACCCCGCGTGGGCCTGGGTCTCGGCTTCATTAGGACACTTGGGAAATGGAGCAGAAGAGGGAGAGGGATGAGTCCCATCACCTCCTGCCTGCCGGGTGCCGGGCGCGCTTCCTTCCCTCCCCATCAGGGCCCCTGCCACAGCCTCGGCGTTCTCTGGCTAGAAACCCACGTCCGCCTGCTCCACATCATCTCGCCGAACAGCAGAGGGGCCTCCCCAAGAAAACAGCCTCTTCTGCAGCTCGGTTTCCTGTCGAGGATTTGCAGAGACCTGCGGTGGTCGGCCAGTAGAGGTTGGACCTGTCCGTCAGTCTGTGCGCTGACCAGATTGTTCCTGAGGTTCACGTGACTTCCCCCAGGAGCACACAGTGATGTGCTGTGTGGAAAGTTGGGTCCCACGTGGCTGCCTGTGGTTCGAATCCTGGCCCTGGCAGTTTGATTAACGTGGTGGGTGTGCGTGCCCCAGATCCTGCTGGGCCGGAGGAAGGAGCGGGAGAAGGGTTACAGCAGGACTTACGGGGAGCTTTCGCACCCC